GTGGGTGGATGCAAGTATTATGCTGAGATTATCAAACACTAATGAAGTTTTTATTAACATTGCATGATTCAGTGGGTGGATGCAAGTATTATGCTGAGATTATCAAACACTAATGAAGTTTTTATTAACATTGCATGATTCAGTGGGTGGATGCAAGTATTATGCTGAGATTATCAAACACTAATGAAGTTTTTATTAACATTGCATGATTCAGTGGGTGGATGCAAGTATTATGTTGAGATTATCAAATTTTGATAAAAGTTTAGAAAAAACAACTTTTACACTACAGACAAATATAAAAGAATTTTTTTTTTAAATTTCAAACAATGTTTTGCCTTTGCAGCTTCATCACAGATAATATACACAATGTTTGATATTAGATATTTAGTTTTGTTTAATTTGGTTTATTTTTTGATTAAACATGGTCCTTAATGGACATTTATGTGTATGAAGAAAATAAAAACTATTAAATTCTAATATCAAACAGTTGTGTATATTAACCCTGATGAAGCCGTAAAGGCATAACATTGGTTGAAATAAAAATATATTCTTTTATATTTATCTAGAGTGTAAAGGTAGTTTTTCATAAACTTTTATCAAAATGTATAAATCCCTCCAGTATACACTACAAATTTTGAGATTATAAAACACAGATGAAATCTTTTGTTAACATTGCATGCTTCTGTGTGTGGATGGAAGTAGTATTTTGGAATATAAAACACAGATGAAATCTTTTGTTAACATTGCATGCTTCAGTGTGTGGATGGAAGTAGTATTTTGAGATTATAAAACATGAAATCTTTTGTTAGCATTGCATGCTTCTGTGTGTGGATGGAAGTAGTATTTTGGAATATAAAACACAGATGAAATCTTTTGTTAACATTGCATGCTTCAGTGTGTGGATGGAAGTAGTATTTTGAGATTATAAAACTGATGAAATCTTTTGTTAACATTGCATGCCTCTGTGTATGGATGCGAGTAGTAAGATGAGATTATTAAACAGTGTTTAAGTGTTTTGTTAATGTACGTTTCTGTAGAAGTAATGAAAAATTTCATAGGAAGTTGGATTAGATGCTTGTATGAGTTATGCACGTTATGTAGTCATATAAATAAAATTGAGAGCACAGATTGTATAAAATGCATGGCATCATTCAAGTAATCTCTTACATTTTTTTTCCTTGAGGTTAGTATTGTTTCTAATAATTAATGAACAACCTATCTATAAATGTTTACAATGTATTTGGCTACTAAGTAAATATATTACACCCAAACTTGAAAAAAATCTATGAAAATAAAAAAAACAACACTTGAAATCCATGTTTGGCTGTAATGCTAGTTCAATGTTAAAAACATTTAATTCTGTAAAAAGAAAAGTATATGAATGCTATGGTTTCATCACATTTCTTAAACTTTGCAAAAAACAACTGCTACCCCTAATTTCCAATTTTTTCCTACATTGTTAATTAAAGTAGCTCATATCACTGCTTTCCTGGTTGTTCTCTCATATACAGTAATAAAATAATTCATACTATTATTTTCCTTGCTTCTATTTATTCTTATACAACTGTTACTAAACCATTTATTTCCTAGTTTTCATTCTCTCTGTTGTTAAAAAGAACTTGTAACAAAGTTCTTAGTTTTCATTTGATCTCTCATACTTTTGTTAAAATGGTTTCCTGTCTCTTATTCGATTTGAAAATATATAGAAATACTGAGCTACCAACAGCAATTTTTATTGAAAAAAAGTTAGTCATATGACTATATTATGTTAAATTAGTTTACATACAGTTGCTTTGATATGTATTTGATTAAACACAGAAGTGTTTCTATAATCTGTTCATCGTAACACTGTACATTCTTAAGTTTAATAAATTATTATAAGTCATGTCTTTGAAGGTATTTTGATTATACATGTTATAACGTTCTGAAGAATTTGACTTGGGACATTAAGATTTGCTTAAGGTTATAATATACACATGTAGCAGAAAAATTTAACACACACACTAGAGCACCAACAATTTGAGCTATTAAAATCAAATTCCATCTAAAAATGCCCTCCAGGAATCTTGTATTCCCAGAAACTAAAGAAAATTGGTACATTTTATAAAACATAAAATTTTTTTACTTGATTCACTTGTTGCATATTTTATTGCAAAATATAGCCCTACAGACCACATATCATTGAATTTAGCATAACAACTCTTCAGCAAATTATTAATAAATAGGCCTTGAGAATAGAAATAATAGGTGCATCAAGATTGGTTTTATGGTAAGCAAATTTTTAAGTTTTATGAAAATTGTACACACAACATTTTATGTGGTTTTTTTTGTCTTCCTACAAAGCTGACTTTTATACACCTAATTTTTCTACATAGTTGTAGATGTTTGCATCCAGCTATATTCTCTCCACCACAATTGTGCTTAATCATAATAAAACTTTTAACTGGTAAACTGTGATATTTGTTATGAATGGGATGATCTCTAGATGTCATAGGAGGATAATTCATAATGTTATGCCAATATTAGTGGAAAGTAGAGATCATATGACATCTTACAAAGTTAAAAAAAGAGGAATTCAAGAGAGAAATGTGCATATAAAGGATGTGAAGACTGTATGGAAATTTAGGATATTTTACAGATAGCACATTATTGTATTTCAGTTCAAAGTTGACTTCCATCAACAATGTACTTACAGTACTACCTTAGATGGTAATGTGGTACATGTTATTGCATTTCAGTTTGAAAGTAGACTTCCAACAATAATGTGAATATGCATTATTGTGCATGAAGAATTATGGACTGAACACCATGTTAAAATATAAAGGTTTTATTGAACAACAAAGTTTATAGTTTTTGAAAACTTGCTCGCAGCAGTAAACTGAGAAAATATTCACACACACACAACAATATGAGTGTGAATCTTTGCTTGGTAAGCATGGTGAGGTATCACTGACACATGTTCAGTAGCCAATCAGGCAAGTTGAAATAATATGATTAACAGATATTATTAGATTTTGGTTACAAATTTGAAGTTTTTAGCTAGAGCCAAAGTACAGTATCTGGGGGAAAAGACACAAGACTGGCAAGTTGGCCATTTTTTGTAAAACCAAATTGGAGAATTTTATCCTCATTTTTTTTTAATTGTTGAGACCTCAGAAAAATATTTAATCTTTTCAGAAGTTCACAGCAATAAAATTTTAATCTTTACTTAAATTTTTCTTCCATCAATCCCTATTTAATGCAGTAGCAAATTATTAATATTCAAAGATAGTCATGGTTTCACTCTAATTCCAATCAATGGCAGAGTTTATGAGCAATTAATGCTATATAAAATGTAATACACTTTAAAACAACACTTGTGAACTGTCAGTCAAAGCTTTGGCATAGCAACAGTGGTCTGAGTATTCTACTTGCATTGATATCAGTATGAAAAGTTTTGATCTTGTTTCTAATTTAAGTTTCAACATATGTAGCAAGCAATTGAATCTGAGGGTCAGTCACAAGTTGTTCACTCTAGAGTCAACCATCTCCCAGAATGGTAACAAAACTGTAAGCAGTTTACTATAATGGGTGAAATATAGCAAATCTTGGGAAGGAAAATATGTGTGGGTTACAAAAACTGCAGATGATTCAGAAAATGCATTTTTTAAACTTTGCTGTGCCAGTCACACTAAAACCGAAAGCATCAGCTCTCAATGCAAACCTTTACCAGTAACATGCACACTAAGGCTGGATGATGAAGTGAAGTTAGCTAGAATTAGCAGTTTGAAATGTTTGCTCAGCTTAGCAGCAGTTGCCACAGCTGATCACTTCAGAGTAATTATTTCCTGAAAAGGAATGGAAGCAACCTCGTGAAAATCAAACTGTACCAAACAAAATTCATTAAATTGATCAGTGCAGTAATTTCTCATGCACTCATGGAAAGCCTAGTCAGTGATAACAGATGGTAGATGAGTGAAGATGCAAAAACTGTTACAGCATTTGTTGTCCTTGAGCCTGTGATTGATGCCACTGGAGAGGTTATCTTCAGTATGCTGAAAAGCAGCCTAAACAGCATGAGTCTGAAATTGACAGATTACAAAAAGTGACTAACACTTTGGATAGTATGAAGCAGAGTCATCTACAACATCTGGATGAACTGGGAATTACTGAAGGCTAACTACATATGAGCAGAACAGGCCAGTGTTCTGGATGCGTGATACAGTGCATGTTTAATGCTCAAACTATTGAGATCCAGCAATCCTGTTTGGCCTTTTATCAGTGTAACTACAATAACATGGCAACCCCATTTATCACTTGTAATATCACCTCAAGTTGGAAGTATACTTAAGAGGCTGTAAATAATAAAAAAATCTTCAATGCTTTATTCTGTAACATGTGGTCATTTAAAATTTCTTTTAAGTTGTATCATAGTTTTCAGTTGCTTAAATAAGTAAAGTGGATTTTTTTGGTAGCTCACATGCTAGTCAAAGTATGCCAGGAAAGTGCAAATTCCATCCAGTATGGCTGGATATCAATTTGGTTACAAGAACACCTGCAAAATACCTTGCATGATGCAAAGTTTGGATGAAAAAAGTGGATGGTGATGGAGAAGTTAATTTTTACTTGTATTTCTCTGTACATGTTATTACTAGAAAGTTTTGTACAGGTGTTACTGCATTTTTTATAAAATATGATAAAACATTATTTGTTTAATTTTGGTAGAATACATGTTCAGTTAAAATCAGTAAATTTTGCCCATTAGCCTGTGTAAACCATATGTATTTTGTTTTCATCATTAAAAAATTCCGTAATTCATTTTACTGCACACAGAGATGAAAACTATGTATGATACTTGGACAAAGGTAATAATTATTAGAAAGAAAATAACAAATGATTATGCTATGCACAGTTTATTAACTCCTTTCTTAAAAATAATCTCAATATTCCAAGGCAATGTTTAATTTTTTTCTATAAAAAAATACATTCTGTAGATTATTGCTAGTTTGATTTTTTGTATTGATTCTAATTAGACATAAATTCAAAATAGTTACTCTGACATAATGATTGGATTATGAAAAAAAAAACTTTTACATATGATGTACTTTGGCACTATATTACCTGATTAACTAATCTATTTTACTTTTTTTAGACAATGGTGATGATAAAAATGAATACAAGTATTAAAGTCCAATAAATTCAAGAATAAAAAAATTAGCTTTTCACGTATTTTTTTAAAATTTGCATGAATTTGCTGTAATCTCTTATGTAATCCCTATAATATTCTAAAATACAAAATTTTCAAGTTCTCTTCAAAGGCTGTCCAGTTTTTTTGGTGAAGTCTTCCCATCCTCCACTATATGTACGAGCTCTGAGGGATGAAAAGGGTATTAACAGCCATGGAAACAAAGATTTTCTTAAGTACAATATACTTCAAGGTTTACTGTATTTTAATTACTCAACAAATCAAGTAAAATGTATAACATCTTTGAAAAATTATCCAAAATTTCTGCTATTTACAGATATAAATCAGTTTGGAAAACTGATATAATTCAAAAAGTCATTATAAAATGTATGATAAAAATAATTCAACTCACATAACTTTATAGAAACATATGCATAAAAATAAAAATATTTGGCTAAATAAATGCTCTAGAATATCTTAATTAAATCAACATTATGCTTTTAAATAATTCAACTCAAACAACTTTATAGAAACATATGCATAAAAATAAAAATATTTGGCTAAATAAATGCTCTAGAATATCTTAATTAAATCAACATTATGCTTTTTTAATACACATTCTAATACCTGAATATTAATAACAAATATTTTATTGTGCAAACCTATTAAATTTTTTCCTTTCTCTATCTTTGATAAAGAGAAACATTAAAATTGCAAAATAGTAAAAATGTAATTAAAATACGTGAAAAACACAACAATATATAAATTATGGCAATTTCTTTTCAATAACTTCACATGAAAAGCAACAAGTTTAACCTAAAAAAAAAGAACTACTTGGTTTTAAGATGCTTCTATAGTATTTGGGTTTAAAGATGATGCTAATGTAATGCACCCTAGTCTATTTAACACTTTCAATACATATATATATATATATACCCCATTCTAGAGCATTCTTCTGCGGGAGTTTGAAATGTTGTACTACCATTAAGAAAGAGTGTTCCCAAAGTTTACCAGTTGTTTTAGATAAGTAATGAAATATCAAAACATGCATTTTTTTGAATTTTATTGTATATCAAGAATAAACCTGGTACTGGGAGTCTTATCTATAAATGTTCAAAAACATAGCACTGCTTGGTTTATATAAAAGTACCAGGGCCGTAGGTACTGGTAAGGCCACTTTTTCATGGCATGTATAACTACAACTTATATATCAAAAATTCCTTCTTTTAATTCAATACATTAAATTGTGTATATGCAGTATCTGTAGTTAAAATGGCTGAAGAATCAATCTCATAGCATTAAATTTTCAAAAGCTTTTCTAGGGTGCATGTCCCCAGACCCTCCTAAAAAATGGCATGCAGGCAATGTGCTTTGCACACATCATGTGTTACATTGTTTAGCTATGGCAATGGCCTGACCACTCCAAAATTGCTTCCTATAGCAATGAATACATTTATCATAAAAATTATTACCAGAACAAATATTAAATTATATTAAAATAAGGTACTGCTTGGTTTAAAGATCATTATGCATGTATCCTGATTTGTAAAATACATAATCATCAAATTCTTTCAAAACCAGTTGTTGCTTGGTTTTAGAATGTTGCTACCTGTTTCTGTACTCTCATTAGTAACATTGCAAAGAAGTAGGCATTATTTTATCACTACTTACCACCTAACCTATAAGTGCAGCCAAACTGTCCAGTGACAGTCATTACATACATGTTGTGGTTTTTAAAAGTACACAATAACAACACAAATAAATTATGTCTACATCTTGAAGCTTTATGCTATAGGTCTTTTTTAAATTAATGTATTATAATCAAGCAGCCTGACATAAATTTACCTTGTTGAAGATTTGCAATTTTTTAAATTAAGATGTTAGCATAAAACAACCCCAGTAGGTTTCCATAGTGAATAAGCTGGCAAAGGAATGATGAAACATTTTACTACATGTTTGGTTAGTTAAGTTAGGTCCTCCATGCAACTTTTATTTCTTGTTTTAATTTAGTAACTTCATAGTAGAGATACAGACCTACCAACATTAAATTTTGAAAAATAGTAGTCCCTATCGTGGCAAGGGAAAAACAGCAAAAAATATAAACAGAAATGGCATCACTACTAATTATATATCATTTAATACTTACTAATTACAGTTTACTACTGGTCAAGAGCCCTGTAAGTAGCACTCTTGACTTTCTTTGGGAAATCATCTGTAAATTCTTGGAAGAAATATGGTTTTTGTGCCTCCATCTTCCTTATCAGCACTGTTTGAGGCTAGTTCTTCCTAAAAGAGTCCTGCAATATCCTTGCCAGTTGGGATTAGAAAGTAATGCATTTACTAACTTTTTCTTCTTGTCATCAAAGTATGCCACTACAACAGGGTACAGTTTACCGTCAAAATCATTACTGTCATCAGTGAACAAGTTGAAAACCCTTGTTTTAATGTTACTCATGATTCACTCAGTTGCACTGCTGGCCATTTCTCCAATTACTGCAAAAATGTTTTGGTTCTAGAGCACTGTATCTTTTAGCAATTTCTAAATCCAGAAACATTACAGTAAAACTTTTTGAAGCATGGTCCAAAACCACCAAAGGAAGATTGTGTTCCACAATGATGGAGATGAATAAACATTCTGCTTTATCACATCATTTTCTAGTTTGGTATTAATTGGGTTTTATGAAAAATGAGTCTAGTTTATTAATTCCAGATGCCCTCAAGCAATTCTGCTGGTGTTTAGTAGTGTTGAGATGTTTTTTGATGTCAGTTTCATCACCATGAGCAATGAAGAAATCACAAACACAAATTGTACATCTTGCATTATTCATACCCTTTGAGGATAATATAATGTCATTAAACTTTCTTTAAATTCTCATGCCTAAACTTCTGCTCACTATAAACTTTTCTTTGTTGGAGTCATTGGGGACAAAGCATAACCATGTTTTTCTGCCATTTTCCTCTCAAAAAATGATCAATGCTTACTAATTACACACTTTTTTTAATAGACTATTTCAAGTATTTGTAAGATTGAGGTGCAAAGCACAGAGTAGTGAATTATTTTCAGAAAATTATTGGTAGAAAAAAAGGTTGGTGAAATAATACTAAAATTAGAACAATTACACCTAAATCATAAGAGTTGGCAAGTCTGGAGATATGCAAGATAAATATTATTATTAGTAATGTTATTTCAGCTTCTTTAAATGACAATTTTAAGAATCATCATCCCCTAACATGAATGATGATTGAGATTAGAGATTTTTAACATATCAGTACTATGTATTTACCTGTTGAAGCCAAATTTATCTGCAAGGTGTAGAGCTGCCCTTGCTTTGATAGGTCCAAGACCAAAGAAGACTATGTTTGCATCAAACTGATGTGGTTTGGCAACTCTGTACTTGTTTTCAAAAACATCTTCTGACATCAGTAAAGCATCCTTCACCTGACCCACTTTTTACATATGTATAGAAGAAAATAATTTATAGAAACTGGATGAACATGCACTGTTACTTCAGAAGATTGAATTTTAAATAAACATTCAACATGATTTTAAAAATAGCTTCAAATTATGATTATTTGGTAATGAAAAATATAAGCTTATATTTCTTCATGTTAAAATATTTCCAACTAAGCAAACAGTGATTGAGATTTATAACATATCAGTACCAAATGACAATGTTATCCTATATCCAAACAACAGTAAGTATAACTACAACCTGAAAAAGGCACAACACAGAAACCAAAATGTAACCCACTTTTTCTTTCTGGACAGATATAGTCAATAAAAATCTTCAAATACATAGTCTACTCAGCTTAATCTACTCTAAACCAAATAATATTAGCTGTCTTTCCCTGCATGACTCAGCTCCCATAATCAACATAAAAAATAAATTAAGAAACTAGACAAAAATGTGAATATTGATCAGAAATTTCTCTAAAAATGTTATACTCAAAAAGCTTAAAGATTCATAGCTTCTACTCAAACTTTACTTAACTTTCACAACCTTCATGACAAGTTAAGTTTTTCATGGAAAGAGGCATATAATACTATTCCATTAAAAGTGCAAATGCATACTTTCAAATGTACAATTCTCATCCATATGTTATTAAGCAAAATGTCTATATAGTGTACAAATATCTTAATAAACAGATTATCCCCATTTCATACAATTTTTTATTCATACACTGTACTTGAAGTTGATTCTCCATGACGTATATTCGTTAAGCATAAATAAAAAAACTTACATTACTGTGCGAGTTTGTGAAAGTACACACACATGTTCAAGCATGAAAAGAAAAGTTTTAAGGAGAAATTTAGCTCTGTGGAACTTATTTTGTTGGGGTTATTTTGATTCTTACACCAAAACAACGAGTATTTATTATGTACTGCATACACTTTGCTATAAAGTCAGACTATTTAAATTCTGTTGCAAACTAATATCTACCAAACTTTAATCAAAAATGAACAACAAAGATGGCTAGTTGTAGATAAATTAACAAAATATTGTCAAATACTAATCAAATTGCAGCAGACAGTTTTTACACTGTTAGAAACAATTTTTCTACAACAAAAGTTTTTATTTTGAAAACATAATGATAATCCCTCTTTCAGTGGCATAGCCGGGGTTCTCAGCACCTGGGGGCAAAGACACTTTTGGCACCCCCACCTCTTAAATGTTTGATTTGTTTTGTGACTCATTACCCATTTAATGACAATAACATAAAAAATTAATTACCACTTTACACAAGCCTAAGATAAAGTCACAATATAACATCTCACAATATCACAACTGTAAACCTGGAACTAATGAAGTATAGCCTACAAGGTGTACTTACATAATTTGTAAACCATTTTGATATTTGTGTCATCCAGTATTGTTCAAAGTCACATAGCTAGAGTAATCTATGAAGCATGCAGAATAACTTTCTGTTATA